TGCTCCTGTAGACGCCATCGTTCAGCTGGCCAGCAAGCTTGCGCTGCCTTTGCTTTACTGCCTGCGTGGTTTGTGTTTTCCAGGGAGCAGAAAACTGTTTGGAGGGCTGCGTGTTTGTCCTGACCGGCGTCCTCGAGTCCATGGAGAGAGAAGACGCCAAATCTCTCATCGAGCGCTACGGAGGCAAGGTGACGGGCAACGTCAGCAAGAAGACCACCTACCTGATTCAGGGCCGAGACAGCGGTGCATCGAAGCTGGAGAAGGTGATATCTCTTTGGACATGAATGCATCACCATATTAAAGGATTTGACATCAATAGAAAAAACTGTCTGAAGCCCGAGCTTTTATCTCACAGGGATTAGCTGTTCCAGCACCGATCATGTGTGTTATGAGTACTTTATCAATACACATGATAGAAAATAAGGAAATTCAATAAATTAAGATAGACTTTAAGGATAAACAGTTTGAGCTCCAGATATGAAAAAATGGCAGAAAATGATAATAAAAATTGGTCCTTTTTTCTTTATTATCCTCTATTTTTCCCACACACACGTGAAACATTTTGCTCCATAGTTTTGTTTCTTGCGTTTCTTAGGCGGAGAGCTTCGGCACCCAGATCCTCGACGAAGACGGTCTGTTGGAGCTGATCGGAACCAAACCAGGAAAGAAGTCCAAGTATGAGATCGCTGCGGAAGCTGAGGTCAGTATTGAAATTATCCTGTAATGTACGATTTACTCTTTTGTACATCAGTTAAACTAAAAAAGTAGATATAATAATAATGATAAATATATACCTATATATATATATATATATATATACACACACACTGCAGCTTGGTCACAGCTGCTCATTTCTGCTCCCGGAATAAACGCTTTACATTAAAAGATGAATTTTACCCATTTCCGCTGGGTTTCTATACCCTCTGCTTTTGTCACATAGAGCAAAACCACAAAGACCAAGACGCCTCCAAGCCAGGCTTCAAAGAGCACCCCGAAGGCCCAGAAGATCTCTCCCTCTAAGGGTAATTCCAGATCACCTCACACCCCGAGCCCTTCAAAGACGGGACAGGCACAAGGCCGCGGTACCAAGACCAGAGACGGAGGGACTCCACCCGGGAGAGGCTCGGGTCAAACTGCGCGAAGGGAGCTGGGCCTTTCCTCTGCTACCTCTTCTTCTTCTGTCCCAGAACAATCATCTCCATCACCCACAGAAGAGGGTGGCAGCCTGCTGTGGGTGGACAAGTACCGTCCACGCTCTCTGAAGGCTGTGATTGGCCAGCAGGGGGACCAGAGCTGTGCAAACAAGCTGCTGCGCTGGCTGCAAGAACTGGTACAAAAACCACGGCAGCGGCAAACCAGCAGGTAGCAGAAGACTGAACGTGATTTGTTTTTGGTCGATTTCAGCTTTTTAAACCCGTCTGTGCTGAAGTCTGCGTGTGTTCTTTTCTGCTTTCTTCTATGCAGCGGCTCGGTTTGGTAAGTTTGGAGGGAAAGACGATGGCTCAGGATTCAAAGCCGCTCTGCTCTCCGGCCCGCCAGGGGTGGGAAAGACCACCACGGCTGCCCTGGTCTGCGAGGTCAGCGTGAAAACACACACAGATTTATTGTGAGCAGCCTGTGTGCGTATTGAGCACGCCGCTCTAATCTCAGCCTCGCGTTCACTGCGTCTGTGTGTCGTCCTGCAGGAGCTGGGCTTCAGTTATGTGGAGATGAACGCCAGCTGCACTCGCAGCAAAAACAGCCTGAAGGAGGTCGTCGCCGAGTCGCTGAACAACACCAGCATAGAGAACTTCTACAAAGGTCACTCCAGCTTTCAGCTGCCTTTTATACAAGTGATTAAAAATGACACGCAGTCTGTGCACAGGCTGTTATTAAAACAGTAAACAGATGTGGTTGTTGTTCTCGTACAGCAGTGACTTCTCCATTAAAGTAGATAAGAGCTCATTTATTCCACTTTTTCTTAAACAGCAACTCTGGCTGTGCTTTTACAATATTTATGAAGTGCATGCTGGACAAACTTTTTAATAAATTAACATAACATACAAACGATTAATCAGTGACACTTAAACCTTCTTCTTCTTGTTTCTTGGCGTTTTGCAGGCACGTCACAGACAGTGAGCAGTAAACACGTGCTGATCATGGACGAGGTCGACGGCATGGCTGGTAACGAGGACCGCGGAGGAATTCAGGTAAATGACGGCATTTTTTTTTACAGACTGTAGAGATCTTAACTTTTATAAGTTAAAGGTTTTAGATTAGGGAAATGTGGAAAATAAGCACTCACAGGTTTCAGCGCTGGTTGATGGTTGACTGAGCAACTGCAACAGAAGATAGAAGTTCAGTCTGATCCTCAGACCTCTCCAGCTGACCAAGAAACGCAAGAAACAAAACTATGGAGCAAAATGTTTCACGTGTGTGTGGGAAAAATAGAGGATAATAAAGAAAAAAGGACCAATTTTTATTATCATTTTCTGCCATTTTTTCGTATCTGGAGCTCAAACTGTTTATCCTTAAAGTCTATCTTAATTTATTGAATTTCCTTATTTTCTATCATGTGTATTGATAAAGTACTCATAACACACATGATCGGTGCTGGAACAGCTAATCCCTGTGAGATAAAAGCTCGGGCTTCAGACAGTTTTTTCTATTGATGTCAAATCCTTTAATATGGTGATGCATTCATGTCCAAAGAGATATCACCTTCTCCAGCTTCGATGCACCGCTGTCTCGGCCCTGAATCAGGTAGGTGGTCTTCTTGCTGACGTTGCCCGTCACCTTGCCTCCGTAGCGCTCGATGAGAGATTTGGCGTCTTCTCTCTCCATGGACTCGAGGACGCCGGTCAGGACAAACACGCAGCCCTCCAAACAGTTTTCTGCTCCCTGGAAAACACAAACCACGCAGGCAGTAAAGCAAAGGCAGCGCAAGCTTGCTGGCCAGCTGAACGATGGCGTCTACAGTGAGCACAGGTTACCTTCGGGATTTCCTTTGAGCCCAGAGCTCGTGGTCCATCTCTGTTCAGGAAGTTCCTGTAAGCTGAAGAGTTGGCCTTCTTCTTCTCTTGGTCGTCAGGGCTTGTGCTCGTGCTCTGAGACAGAGGCAAATAATCTGGGTTTTAAATTGTTTGAAGTGGATATTTTTATCTATATGCTCAGGTTTTTTCTTCCTCTGATCTGATAGGTCGTCTGTGTGGCTCACCTCCGGTTTCTTGGGAGAAGTCTTAAGTGCGGTGGGCGTGGTTCCAGTTTTGGGGGTGAACGTCTTCTCTGAGATAGATGAAGCGTGGGGCTCCTTTTTGGGAGAAATTTTCATCTTAGTAGGGGTTTTGCTCTTTACCCCTTCCTTCTTGTCATCATCCTTTTTCTTCATCATGGCCAGTTTGGAGCTGGCTTTTACAGGAGCTGTGGTCTTTTTGGGAGACGGACTAACCACATCTTCAGACACGCTGGTCTTCGAGCTGCTCCCAGGGGCGGCAGCGTCTGTGGCTTTCTTTTTGGGGCTCGTGGTCAAGACTTGTTTTTCATCAGAGCCTTTGCGAGCCTGGATGGTTGGGAAGACAAAAGAAACAAGACTTGAAATAAACTTGAGAATTTAATTGCACAAGCCTTTTTAATGCTTGCAGCCTTTACCTTCTTCGCTTTTGGCTCTTCATCCAGCATGGCCAGCGTTCTGGCAAACTCCTCATCCTCGTGGACCTGTTTCTCCAGCTGAGAGTGACGCAGCAAAAACATGAGAACAGCAGAAGAGCTGTAATGAACTACGGGTCAAAGCCATCTGTCAATTTACTGAGCAGCTCTAATTCAAAGTCAAATAAACCAGCAGCGGCTGATCAGCCTACCTCCATGTCCTCTTCCATCTGCAGCTGCCTGGCGATTTCCTCATCGCTTATCAGGTCGTCTGTGAGAGTCGGCTGAGGAGTTTTTACAAAGGATCGTTACTGAGTCATGAGAGGATGAGTAAAAAAAACAAGGAAACACACACAGAAGTAATGCCTCAGTACTCACAGCCTTTCGTTTGGTGCTGGCTACCAGCTTCTTGTCCGAGCGCTGAACACTCGCGCTGCCAAAGTAATCGAGTACTGATGTGGGGGTTTGTTTGGGCTGAGGGGGTGGAGCTGACTTTGGGGTGGAAGGTACAGGAGGAGATTTTGGTGTGGTTTTTCCCTGGGTGGAGGATGGCTTGACGGGAGACTTCCCCGACTGTTTGGCTTCCGCTTTTGTCGTTTTTGCGGTGCCGTTCTGTTTGGATTTGGAAGTTTTCTTCAAGGACTGGAAGTTGTCGCTGTCTGAGTCTACAAGCAGAAAAGAGAGGCTTCCTATCACGCGTTTATAAAAAAAGGACATTTTGCCTTTAACGCTGGGGTAAGAGCACATCTGAAGCATCACCTGTTTCAGAGACGTACTGCACGGGATCTTTTTTGTTTGTCTTCGCTTTCTCTTTGGGGGATTTTGACTTCCTCACTGGCTCCTCCTCATCTGAGTCTGAGCACAAACACAACGCATCACTAGAATCCTGCACAGAAACGGGCTGCAAGGCTCCAAGAAACTCAAAGTGGAAGGGATCATGAAGAAGATTAGGTGAGGAAGAATGAGCTGTGATTGGTCAGGAGCACATGTGAGACTGTTGAAAACTACAACATTTTGACCCTGCTAGTTCTTCTGCGTCTGAGGGGGTAAAAATTCAACTTTCATAGGGGGCTAATAATTCTGTCCTCATCTAAATCTACAATCTATTTCCATTCATCTTTGGATGAAAATATGAGGCTAAATCTTTTGTAAACTTTTGAAAATGTGTGTTATCTTTTTTTTTAAAATCCAGATGCACAGAAGAGCCTGAGGATGCTGCAGGTCGCTGAGTCCCCGCATACATCTCATCAAACAGCAATAAACTACATTTTAAAGGAATGTATTTTAACAAATCCTTTAAAAACCTTCAGAAAAATAACAATGCTGTGACACCGAGACATCACTGTGGAGGAAATGCCTACCCGAGGCTATGACTGCGTGCTTCTTTCGTTTTTTCTCCCCATCCTTGCGTTGCTCCTCAGTTTTTTTGCTTTTGACCTACAGAACACGAAACCACAATAAAGCCGGATAAACAGGATGAAGAGGAACAGAGAAAGGAGACAAGGAGAGGGGGCAGCTCCTCACCTTGTTGGGCTCTTTCTTCTTCTTTTTCACCTCCTCGTCCGTTGACGAGGAATTCTTCTTCTTCTTCTCCTGTTTGTCATTTCCGTTCGGGGCAGGTTTCTGCACCGCAGGCTTAGCCGACGTCGGTGCAAAGAACCGCCTGATGTCCTGCACACACAGAAGAGTACAAACTGTAAGAATTACAGAATTACGTAAAAGGAAAAAACAGGGAAAAAAAATCACTTTTATCAAAACTGTACATCCTGACTCATAAAGTGCCTGGGAGTAGGAGCTACGAATGCAAAACTATTTCATTCTTTGACATCTCAGTGAGACTTTGTATCCTTCCATCCTACCCCATCCACATCTTTGCAGCTCAAGCACATGATCTCATTTTGCAAATTAGAAAAGATGAATTTCACAGTCAAAGGCAGCTATATTCATTTTTTCCCCAAAAAGTGGAAATCTTTTATTATTTTAATTATTTACCAATCTTGTCTGTAGACTAGCTCACTTATTTTATACCTATTTGTAGTTATTTTGGTTCCCCAATAACTTATTTTACTTAAATCCATTTTATTATGCTTACTCAGATACATAAATTAATACCGACTGGCCCTCCTTGATAATATATTCATACCCACTAGTTCCTCCCTATATTTTCCCCAATTGAATGAAGCCATCCTCTTCACTCTGCTGCTCCCATTAGTGGACATAACCACCATCTGTCACACCAACCCTCTGCATGTCCTCACTACATCTATGAATGTTCCCTCATCCTGTCACTCCCAGTGAAAATCTTAGCATAAGGACATTTCCTTATGCTAGGTTTTATGAGTTTACACCACGAGTCAACTTTTGATTTTACATCAGTTAATTTTGCTTTTTTTTTAAAACAAACAAACAAAAGATTTTATCTTTAGTTTTATTTAAGTGAATTAAAATCACCTTATTGGCACCCAAACAAAAACAAACGTATTCAAAGTCAGCTCAGTCTTTTCACTCATGCCACAGATGTTGCTGCTTCACTGTAGCCTGCAGTGCAGCTGTGAGGAAGCATCTGCACCTGTGTGTGTCCTTCTACACCCACTGCTTTATGGTTTTCCTTTAAACTGTCACCCCTCTGCATGTTAGTCAGTGTGCTTCCACAGCAGACCGCACAGCTACACAAACTACAAACTGAACGCTCTTACACTTCACAGATTTCACCTTCTTCACCTGCTGCTCAAAGCTCCACCTGAACCAAAGGATTGAAGTTTATCCTCTTTAGCAGGAGCTAACTGCGCACTGCGCTTCATCATCATCATCAGTAGCAGCAGCAGCAAGGTTTAACCACACAACAGCATCATTTCCTCCATATTTACCCGCTGTGTTTATGCACACAGGCTCCAGTTTGAGTGAAAAAGCAGCTGAAATATGTCACGTACCATTATGAACGCGCTTTCTCGCTGTGTTGGTCTGTTATCAAAAAAAGTAAGAAAAAGCTTCAACTGCTTGGCGCGAAGCAAGAGTCCGCGGTCGCCTGGAAATGACGCTCCGGCAGCTGGTTGGCGTGCGTCACCGCGTCACCACGAGTACGTTTTTTTATTCGACTAAAGAAAACCTAAATGTTTACAGATATGTCAAGCTAAATAAATAAAAAAAAGTTTAAAACAATAAATAACAAAAATTATTTTTTTGTTGTGGTATAAATTAGCAGATTTTTTTTTTTTGCATTCATTTCTTATTGTGAAGAATTTCCGGTAAAATCTGCGCGCTTTTACCACTGAAAGCAATGAGCTGTATCACTGATTTGATAATGCTCAACTTTCATATCCATAATTGTAGAATTGAAAGTAAAATAAATAAATATATGAACTAAAATTAAACTCAAAAAATGACCACAATACATATGGTTTGAGCAATCAATACAAAATAAAAATAGACTGTAGTGTCTGCACTGTTTGAATATTGTTTAAAACCTGAATAACCTACAGATTCTAACTAAAAATGCAAATACAAATAAAAAAAACAAAACTACTCTCCCGGAGGAAAACACCACTCAAACTACTTCCCTTCATTTCCCCCCCAGCAAATCCACTTTCTTGCTTCCGCGTTATTGTTTGTTCTTTAAAAAATAATAGTATGAAGAAGAGAAGCGACCTGGATGTATTTAATCCGAGTTGTATAGCCCAAATAATTTATAGATACTGTGAGGAATGAAGGTTTAATCTTTTTTTTTCTGCTCCTCTTGCATTTAAACGTGAGACTTTCACACAAACCAAACACGATGAGTTTATGAAAACCTTCAGGTTAGGTTGCATTTGAGTTCCTCTGGTTTTAGAACAGGTTGTCTGTTTGACTCCTGGTCCTCCTGAAGATGTTCCTGAGGTCAGACAAATGCCTCACACATCAAACCACCTCAGTCTGTGTGAGACTGAAGTATCAGCGCTGTGAGGAGTCTGAAATGCTGTGCTAAGAACAAAAAGTAAAAATCTAGGTAACAAATGTGACATTTTTTTTAGGCAAGTCTTAGGGTTAAATCTTTTGCTTTTAGTTGTCTGTGTTCGATTACATGTTCAAAATTAAAACTTGCCATTCTGGCAACAAACCAGTGGATGTGCTGGAAACTGTCTGTGAATCACTTTGGTCCTCAAGAAATCTCAGTATTTTCACAAGCTCCTCAGTGAATCTGATCCATCAGTTTTATTGTTATTATAATGAACTACAAGGAAAAACTGACCATGAGCTTCGCAGAAATTTAACAAAAACAGTATACTTGTATAAGTAAAAGAAAATCAGTTTTGGGGGCACAGTGTTGTAGTCGCTCACCGTCGCTGAGCATGATCCCAGCATTCTGTCCACGATGTACTTTGCATCTCATCCTGTGACAGCAGGGATCCAGCCCATTCACAGCCCTTAAGTTCATCGGTGATTACAATGTCTTTAGTTTTAGTATTCAAAACCTGGCCGGTGAAACAGCCTCTAACAAGCACTGTTTGATTATTAATATTCATCCTGAATTTCTTAAATCTTTCCTCTGAAACAGAACAACTCAAACTAACAGTGAAGCTAAACTAAAACAAGGAAATCCACTGAACAAAGTGAAAATAAAAATCTTCAAATCTTAAACTTCTGATGATGGGTAGAACTACCCCAGTGACTCTTTCGTGTGCAATTTATAACAATATCAAGATTTTGCTGAACTATTCTCAAAAACCAATAAGAAAGGGAGGCAGAGACTGGATTAACTGGAAAACACATTAGTTTATTGGTCTTATTAGCTTGTCATTAGCACTGTGCTGTGCAGGAACTTCCTGATGTCCTTCTTTCCGACTGTGGTGGTCTGCTGGATCAGGGCTGCTGGAAACAAACAGAGGAGCCGAGTGTGAGGACAGATCAACTTAGTGGGAGGATTAATGAAGAGTTTACTTCAAAAATAATGGGCAGCTTTAGGAGCACAGATGCACGCTGTGGTGCACATTCATGCAAACAGTGACGCCAAAAGCATCCACACAAACACCACATGGGGCTGGAAAACAGTTCGTATCAGTTACAGCTTTTATGAAACTGTTAATGATCTGAAACTGCCGATAAAATGTTAAAAGCCCAGTCAGATTTTTGGAGATTGATTCACACATGAAGGCGACTTCATGTAAGGAGTATTTATTAATGGAAAATAATTTAACTACATCCATGAGCCCCAACAAATAAGTTTAAATAAAGTGGAGCAGCAGCGCATTGTGTAAAAAGATCTGAAAGAATGAAACCATTAAAAGGAAGAAAAACCAGCAGAGCATGCAGGACAGGAGGATGGTGATGTCTAACCTCCGAGAGTGTAGGTGTAACTTTTACTGTTCCGGTTCCAAGACTGTTCCCTTCTCAGACACGTAAATGCCGTCCAAGAACTTCCTGATATCCTTATTTTTGACAGTTGTGGCCTGCTGGATCAGAGCAGCTGCAACAGAGAAGTTGGGGTGATAAGTAGCACATCACAACAGGATTACACAAGATTCAGGAAGGACTGTGTGACACACTGTTTGCTGTCGTTTTGGCTCCAAGTTCAAATTTCATCTCCAACGTGTTTACTAAGAATCTGGACACAAGTCCAGAAAAACCTGATATGTCCCTGAGGCAGCGGTCTCATACCGACCCTCCTTTTTATACATGCAGGTCGAGCTGTTTGGATTGTAGCATGTGAATCAAAAGGTAGTTAAAAAGGTCTAAAAGCATCTTACACTCGCATCTCACAGCTCCATCAGGGATTTACAGGAAAATCCACCTGCAGGAGCATTTTGACTTTAAACTCATTTTCAGAAATTATATACAGTCTTGAGTGGATTATGGTCAGGTGACAGTTTTTGGCCTTTGTTTGACATCAATGTGATATTTATACTCACTGCTGTATAACAAAGCTTTGCCTTCAAAAGCTGAGCCAAAACAACCGACTAATATGGACAAAAACTAAAAATACAGATTCTGGAGAACAACTATAGACTAGCAAAAAAAAAAAAAAAATCTCAACTGAGGTGGAGCGATGGGGTTTTTGTTCATCAAAGTAGACGTGCAAACAAGACCGTGCTCAGTCCTTAATGTAGAAGAGTGAAGACGAAAAATCAATTCAAGGAGAAACTCAAATTTACAATAGTCTAAAAACACTGGTGAGATCAGAGGCTGTTCTTCTCTGATTTGAGTTTATCTTCTTTCCATAATTTCATTTGAGAACCTGAACTTAATGTCTGTCAGATAATCGATAAAACCCTCACTGCACCCCAGTAAGGAGAACAGTAGGACTTTAGGTGGAGGGAAACTTGATCAGAAGTCAAGTGTGATAAACTGGATTAGCAGCTGCACTGATGTCCAACTGCATGTAGTGTGTACAGATGATGTGCAACAACTGTCCACAGAGTCCAGTTTTCCAACCATAAGGTTGGTGACAAACATCCGCTGATGTTTTATTCACTCTTATCTACACCGAGCATCAAGGTGACACTGAATCAGTTTCAGGACGGCTGCGACTGAAATAATGAAAAACTTCTCATCTGCTGGTGGAGCTTGACATAATCATATCATTTCATCCTATGGTGTAGAAAACCTAAAGAGGAAACAGCAGGCAGACGTACCAGAGTTGGACACCAGCTCAATGTCGTTACCCTCCAGGACCAGCTCGTCCTTCTGTGCGGCTGAGACTGAACACAGCACACCTGAAAGAGAACAAGGATAAAAGTTTAGTCTTATTATACAAAATTAGAAATGTTTAAAAAAAAAAAGAGAGAGAAAAAAAAAGAAAAAACCTCCACTACATTTTCAGAAATATTTGTCTATTTTGTTTTTTCTGTACTACTTGAACACTAAAGTGGCCCTCCAATGAGATGACAGTTCCACCAAATAATAAATATCCAGCTTCAGACATTACATCACCAAAATGAGGCGAGCTCAGGATCTTTAGATCTGCTGAGAGAAAAGTCGATATGCTTAACTGACCATGTTTGAACTCTGAGTGCAACTCCAGACTTCATCACAAATTAAAGAATCTGCTTCAATGACTCCACAAAGTCTGCACGTGCCTCACTCTCTGCCAATTCTAAATCCCTCCTCAGAGACTCACTACACCAATTAATCTGTATGTGCCTGGCGGGACTGTCGATCGAGGACGCTGAAGATATCTATCTATTCGGAACCGTGATAACAGGGTTCATGCTGATCGGAGTTGGCTTAGCCCTGGTTTATCGGAGAAATAAGAGAGCGGAACCGGCTGTTCAAACCCCCCCCAAGGCTGCCCGCTGGAATCGAAGCGATGGAACGAGGCGCAACCTCTCACAACGAACGTAATATGGTCAACACCTTTGAGACTCTTACAGCTGCTGTGAAGGCTCAAAACAACACCAATGAGCGTATGAGGGGAAACATCAGAGAGAGGCCTGCTTTCACTGCAGGGCAACCTGCATGTGACGAATAAAGATTTGATTGATTGACAAAATAATTTCCTAATCCATAAATTTAACGAGCCCTGGTTTTCAAATCAGCCGTTAGCAGTTTTTGCCCAACCAGCAGCTCGTTCAGCTTCACGAGTGTGTGAATTTCATGATTTTAGTATGATGCCTCTTGGGCTTTGAACTGATGAAACAAAAGATCAGAAAAACAAGTCTTTAATGATCTTTAAAGATAATTTGACATTTTGAAGACTAAAATGATAAATTCACTGTGGTCCCTTCCATCTGGCTATTTTAACTTTTAATGTGTCACAAGTATTTGTGTCTAATCAACCACAAACCCAATATGAAGTTATACATAACTTCCAACTTCTCCTGACAAAGTCATTTACGCCACACCTCAGAAACTTTGAATATTTCTGGACTTCACACGTGCCATTCTCATAAACATTTCCATGATTTGACGCAGACTCACCACCCCTCATTCGGACACGGCGAATGTATTTCTCTCCCAAGAAGTTCCTGATCTCGACCAGGGTGCCGCTCTCCTGGATGACCACGTTGATGGGGAAATGGGCGTACACGGAACGCATTTTGTACCGGAAACCCTGCAGTGGCACAAAAGCATGAGAGGCAAACAGAATTGATGCTGGAACAATAGGCAGGGTCAGCCAGAAGCATGCACAGGGTTTATAACTGGACCGACTGAAACAAGCATATCTGAGCTCTCACCAAAGTGACTCCCTTGATCATGTTCTGGACGTGGCTGCAGATGGTGCGGACTGTGGCCAACTCCTTCCTGTTTCCCCACCATTTATCCACACGAAGCTGAGGGGAAAAAAAAAAAAGCACAGCAGCTCAAATCACTTGCATGAAACAGGTGTTGAAGCAATCAGCCCACATGTGAGCGAAATACTGGCCTTGCAGACCGCCATTGGAAAATGCAACCACATTTACCTTTTGCAGTAGCTGCTGTTTACCTGTTGCGATACACTAACTACACCCCGGCTAACAGCCTCAAATCTGACAGGAACACATGTCAGAACACCAAAAACCAACTCTGTCGTCCAAATGCATTAATGTCAGTATACACTTACTATACAGCAAGTGCAAACCACACAGACTATTGGACACATTCTAGAGGTTTTAAACGAGGGGCAGCACGGAGGTGTGGTGCTTAGCCCAGTAAGAAGGTCCTGGGTTTAAATCCACTGGTCGGCCAGGGTCTTTCAGTGTGGAGTTTGTATGTTCTCCCCTTGTTTTGTTCTTTCAGAGTATCCTGGTTTCCTCCCACACTTCCAATATATGCCATTCATCCGCTTCTCCTTTTCAGGGTCACAGGGGGCGCTGGAGCGTATCCCAGCTGTCACAGGGCGAGAGGAAGGGTACACCCTGGACAGGTCGCCAGTCTGTCGCAGGGCTAACACACAGAGACAGACAACCATTCGCGCTCACATTCACTCCCGCATTCACAACTATGGGCGACTTAGATTGATCAATTAACCTAACCCCACTAATTGCATGTCTTTGGACTGTGGGAGGAAGCCAGAGTACCCGGAGGGAACCCACGCAAACACGGGGAGAACATGCAAACTCCACACAGAAAGACCCCGGCCTGATTGTGGAATGAACTCAGGACCTTCTTGCTGTGCGGCAACAGTGCTGCTGTCAAATATATGCATGATACATTAATAACAAAGTGTGCCATAGGCGTGAATGTGAGCATTAACAGCTGTCTGTCTCTCTGTGTTAGCTCTGCAATAGACTGAAAACCTGTTCATGCACCCTGCCTCTCGCCCTATCACAGCTGGGATTGGATCAATTGAAGAAAACAGTTGGATGGTTTCAAACGCTGATATCATCTCAGTCACAGCCAGTCAGATATTTCAATAGTTTCCCTCTAAAATTAAAGACTTTTTCTACAACTTGTTCTTAGCACTGTTGACACCAGCTGTGTATGTATTAAACCTTTTTTTCAACAGTCATATAAACAGCCCTGTACAAAAACTCATTCTGCAATCCACTTATGGCACTTTTAGGCAAAGCACATAACTGGCTTTTAGGATTACTCCCATTTTAAGACAATAAATTGACATTTTAAGCCCTTTATCTACAAACTTCGCACTGAGCAGAGTAGTTTGAAGACCCAACCAGTTCTTAAAGCACTTTTCTAAATGATGCAGTTGTTAATTTTACATATCCAACCTCAACCAAAACAACTCACTATTTAAATCTGAAAACTTATACACTCTAAAATCACACATCCTTAATACCAAACATGTGTGATGCCCTCCTGCCATCACATCCTGGGGCTGCTAACTTCACTTTAAGTAACTTAGCATTATTCTGGCTCTTTCATACCTTCTTCTGTTTCTTGCCCAGCAGGCTGAGCTCCAGGTTGATGTGGTTGAACTCCCTGGTGAGCTTGCCACGGGGGCCTTTGACAGTCACAGTTCGGCCCTTCAGCCTCACCTCGACTGCCGCACAACAAGCACAAATATAAAAAAAAAAGGTTAGAAGCTACTCTACAGACAGGACATAAATACATCTGTGTGGAAAACTGATTTTCCCCTTACCATTGTCGGGGAGGTCGACAGTTTGGCTGCTGAGAATGGTCTTCATTCTGTAAAGAGACAAAATAGGTGCTTTCAACTCTGAAAAGTTTGACTGGCTCTGAGATTCAGGCTAAAGCGTGTATGCCTTTATATCTGTGATTTTAACAGCTCCACAATGACTGTTTACTAAAGTTCGGACTGTGAGATACAGGCACACCACACTGGTGTCAGCAAGCTTTAGCTACAATGCTAACAGAAGTAAGCATTAGATAGCCGACCAGCTCCTTTCATGAGATACCGATACAGTAAAAACGTTAGACGTTAGAAGTTGTTAAATAACACCTGGAGCCGCGCAAACGCCATGTTTAATATGAGCATTGTTGAATCCGCTGTGGGCCTCAGCGAGTACAGAGCGCCAGGCCTCAAGCATCAAACCTGATTAAAACTAACATCATATATCCCGACAGAGCTAAAGTAGGCTACAAATACAGATTATGGTGAGAAGTGTAACATATTCTCAGTGTGATGGCTCAAAATCGAGCGAAATATAGGTTTAAGAGACATAGATGTAGTTAGATGAAAGCAAGGCAACAATTTTTCGGTTATCCTCACCTCGCCGGTAGCAGAGGAAAGGAGGAAAGGACGACGTCACCACGCAATTGTACGTGCCACCAGCAGGCATTACCAGACGATCGAGGAGCGCATATTTTGGATGTAAATATTTGAACAGAGGTGTCGCAAACCACCAAAAAGATTCCAAAAGTTAAAGAGCAGCGTTTTCTGTTGTTATTTTTTACTGCAAGCTTTTCAAACATTTTATTTAGCTTTGCCGCATTCGAGTGGCATCGTACAGTCTACATTCAGCACTCCCAGAGACGCGTTCACTGTCACTTCACTGCAAAGGGATTTCAACATTATAACTGATGGGCGATTTCGCTTACTTAAGTATTGTGTAATATTGAGTATTGTCTCTCAATTTGAATCTGATTCAATTTGTTAAATAGTATTTAAACATGTTTTCATGTAAGTCCCTTTCAAATTATCATCATTAATGGCCATCTTTTAGTCCATCTGTTGCCTTATTTTGTTTTAGAATTTTTTTTAATGCTGCCATAATGTTATGTTCCAGCTCGTCTAGTCTTCATTTTAAAATATATCTATAACCCATTAAGTTCGTAAAAAAAAAAAAATCACCTACGTTGAAATTTTAGCTCATTTTTTTTAAAGAATACTTTCCAATTCTGTCCGCTTCACGTGAAGCACCAGACCAAAGCAGTCGTTCGCCGAGGTGCTATCCCAACGTTAACCGCCTGCTAGCCAAAGTCATGGCGCTACTCAAGCAAAGTTGTTGCGTAGCGGGTCGTTTCTCCACAAACCACCTGTGGCTGAGTCCCAGATGCATCCCACACGTGAGTAGTTAAATTCACAACTCAGTCTAACAAACTTTGGCTCGGATAGTCTATTAACGGCTCCAGCCGGTGAAAAAATCTGACTGCGGGCTTCCCAGCTGGGTCTGTCAGGAGGCCTCTGACAGATTGTATGTGTCTAAGCGAATATGTAGTTTAGTAGCCGGAGTCGTGACCACCTTGTCAGTGTGAATTGCCGTGTGTAGAAACACAGAGAAGCTCCTGAACTAATCGTCAGTGTTGCTCTGCAGGTTTACACCAGCTGCTTATCAACCAGACCCTCCCCGGAGAGAAGTGACAGAAAGAAGGAGCTGCTCAGAGACGACGGGCCTGACCTGCAAGACTTTATTTCAGGGGAATTATCTGAAAAAAGCAAGTGGGCTGAGTACAAAGGCACCCTGAAGAGACAGAAGGGAGAGAGGTGAGGCTTCAGGCCCCGGGGAGCTTGAGCTTTGGTTTGAGTCCATGTTAAGATGCTGGCATGTCTGAGTTTTAAACTCATGATCACTGACAAAAATAAACAGACTGCATTTCACTTGTAGCAGTTGTTGGATTATACTAAATGATAGGTCGACTATCATTTAGTATAGAAATCAGCATCTGCACGTTTATTTTGTTCTGTTAATGCACACAAACAGAAGCTGAGTCTCTGAGTCCAAAACTTCATCACAAACACTGCTATAAGCAACGCTGTTAAAGCTTCAGTAAAAGCTAGTCAAAATGTTTGCATTAAACATTCAAATGGAAAAATGGATTTCAGAGGAAATATAAAAGTGTTTGTTGGATAATGAGCTGTTGGCCTGCTCGGCTCTACCATAAATGTGCAGACACATGCTATAGAGAACAGTTCAACACCATAATGATCATTAAAGGCGAAGTCGACACATGCAAAAGTGACGGGCGCTTGGTTAGCGCCCTGCAGCCAGTCACAGAAGATGCAAGTGAAGTTGAGATTAAGAAAACGACTGTTTAGTAGCAAAACACATCCAAATGCATGCAGGATTTTTCATCATAGAGCTCAAAATACAGATGAGGACAAAGTTATTACATGTAGGGGCATCAGGCAGACCTGAGAGCCTGCCACTAATTCTCAATGAGCTCTTCCCCGCACTGCAGGCTCTGACCTAGCAGGTTTCTTTATTATCAGTAAACGTTTTTTAGCAGTATTTAGACACAGATACTTAGAGATGAGAGCACTGTTAGACACCGAGCTGTCTGCTGTTGTTCCTGTCAGGCTGCGGCTTCCTCCATGGTTGAAGACTGAGATCCCCATTGGAAAGAATTACAACAGGCTGAAGAACACCCTGAGAGATCTCAACCTTCACACGGTAAGTTTTCCGTCTGTAAGTTGTCAGGCAGCCCAGCTGCTTTTTGGCTGCTGTTAAAGAAATGTTTGAGGTGCAACTAATGTGATCTTTGAAGGTCTCCACTGATTCGCCTTCACACTGCTGTAGCACTGACGCACTTATCAAAATATTGCAGTTTCTCAGCTCACTGAACGGCACATGCTACGTTTTTGACTATTCAACCTTCAACAGAAAGGCTGAAAAATGTTTAATAAGATAAGAAAGAAATTTTGAAATTCCCGTGTAACAGCAGCCAAAACATTAAACAGCCCATTAAAACAGTTTAAATGCAGTAGGATAGCTCAAAAAATTCCAAAGCTTCCAGCACCCAGTTTGGATTTCAGCAGATGGCTGCCCCTTCCTGAGCCTGGTTCTGCTGGAGGTTTCTTCCTGTTGAAGTGTTTTTTGTGTTGTTGTTTTTTTTGCCTTCCCTCTGTCACAAAGTCCTATCTCATAGGGGGTCATCTGGTTTTGGAGTTCTTTCTAATATTGTTGGGTCTTTACCTTACGATATAAAGCATCTTTAGATGACTGTTGTTGTGATTTATGAATAATCTGTCTGTTATCTCAGGTGTGTGAGGAGGCCAGGTGTCCGAACATCGGGGAATGCTGGGGAGGAGGAGAGTACGCCACAGCCACAGCCACCATCATGGTGAGTCTCTGCTGCTCTCTGAATTTACTTCCAGTTTTTGAAGAGGGCAAAGAAGCACTTTAATCTTTAATATTCACCATCTGTTCTTTTATGAACTGGCGCTGCTATATCAGTGTTTTATATTTGTCTGGATTCTTTGTTCTATTTTAGCGAGATAATGTATTTGTGTGTGTAGCTGATGGGAGACACATGCACCCGTGGGTGCAGGTTTTGCTCAGTAAAGACAGCACGTCAGCCTCCGCCTCTTGACCCTGACGAGCCGTACAACACAGCCAAAGCCATCGCCGCCTGGGGACTGGATTACGTGGTCCTCACCTCGGTCGACAGAGACGGTACTAGTTTCTTACCTGACTGTATCTGCATGAGTCTCTTGCTGTTGTGCATCAGCAAGAATTACATGAGTGACGATCAACTGCATTGCAATTTGTAGAATTTAATAACATAAAGCTGTAAAGAAATCAGACTGTTCTGGTTTTAACTTTCAGTTTACAAATACAAAAATGTCCACAAATTAAAGATAAAATTCAAGGCATTTTCAAAATATTATATATCATATATATCTTAGATTTTTCTTCTCTCTGTATTTTTGTGCAGATATTGCTGATGGTGGAGCGGAGCACTTTGCTAAGACGGTTACTAACCTGAAAGAAAGGTAAACACGACTCCGCCCCTTTTGGATTTATTACATTATCTGAATGTCTTTGTAAAAGCAACTTTGATCCTGCCTGCTAGAAATCCTCAGATCCTGGTTGAATGCCTGACTCCTGATTTCCGTGGAGACCTGGCAGCGGTGGAAAAGATCGCCCTGTCGGGATTAGACGTGTACGCCCACAATGTGGAAACAGTGCGCGAGCTACAAAGGTACTGAGGGATTTTTAATAGACTGTAAGTCCTCAGAGTCAAAATCTGAGCATCTAATTTCTAGTTCTGCCATTAAAAAGCTTAAATTCATGGCCATAAACACACAGTATAAAGCAGGCTCGTGTGAAGTATTGTTAAAGTCAATAAAAACATGCAAGGTCGTTACGCTGCAGTAACACATGTTGACCAGCAGGTGGTGCAGCAGAGACATTTCTCAGATGCACAGTGATGTTTGTCGTGTATTTACAGGCATGTACGTGATCCCAGAGCAAACTTTGATCAGTCTCTGAGCGTCCTGAAGCACGCTAAAAAGGTCAAACCGACGGTGCTCACCAAGACCTCCATCATGCTGGGGCTCGGAGAGACTGACCAACAGATCATCAGCACTATGACGGGTGTGTAGTCCGCTGTCTCACGCACACACACATTATAAAAAATCAGACAAACTCTACAGTTTTCTGACAGGATGTCATTACAGAGTTGCGAGAGGCAGAAGTGGACTGTCTAACACTCGGGCAGTACATGCAGCCGACCAAACGCCACCTAAAGGTAAACACTCCTACTGCTGTGCTGCCGGCTACAGACACATTCACTCTGACTCTGTGCGTGTGTGTGTGTCTTTGGGATTTAGGTGGAGGAATATGTCACTCCAGAGAGGTTTGCCCACTGGGAGAAAGTTGGCAGTGATATGGGCTTCACCTACACAGCCAGCGGACCACTGGTGCGATCCTCCTACAAAGCAGGTGAGAAGTGATGTTAATAAATGTTTATTAGTATTTTTTGGATATATTAATATTCAACATGTCCAGCCAGTGTGCAAAGAATATTAAATCTCTATATGAAATCATTTTAGTTACATATTTTCAACTTTGCACTTCTGGAAACATATTATAGACTTTGTCAGATAAACATTGCAATTTTTTTTATTTTTTTTAAAGAGACGATCAGGTGGGGAAAAGAGTGCCTAATGAAGTGCACAAATCATCCTCGTGACTGTCCAAAGCCAACTAAGCCAAAAACATTCAAATAAAAGTGGAGATATTAGGTCAGAGATAAAAATAAAAACAAAACACTGTGATCAGGGATATCAACTATAAGCATAATTATATGATTGCAAAGACAAAAGAGAGACAGTTAATTTGTTTCAGTTAAGAAGAGAAATCATGTTATTAAACGTGGCTTTGCATTTTCAGACAAATTCAGCAGTAAAACTTGGGCCAAATCACTCAATAAAAATTAGATCAATTCAAGTGGTGGAAATGAGCTTCCTCTGAAGGGCGGGTGGGCTCCCCCTCAGAGACAGGAATGTAGAGCTCAGTCATTTGGAAGGGAATCGGTGTGGAGCTGCTACTCCTCCTCCTCCTAAATGAGGTATTTTAGGTATGTCCTATTTAGAGGAGGACCTGGGGCAGACCCCACAGTAGCCTTAAGAGGTTATCTCTCTCAGGTGAATTGGGAATGCTTCAGGGTCCCCCATGGAAGAACTGGGATAAGTGGGCAGGGAAAGTATGTTTGGGGATCTCTGCTTAGACTGCTGCTCCTGTGAACGGGACAAGAAGCAGAGGATGGATGAATTCAGTGCATTTCTTCTTTTTTTTTCTTCACAGGCGAATTCTTCTTAAAGAATCTACTGAAGAAGAGGGAAACAGAAGCAGCAGAATGAGGAGCCTGCTGTGTGCGTTCAGCTGTACGCAGTGACAAAATGAGCTTCGTCCATCTGTAACGTAATGCACCGATTTAAAGTACAGCACAGGAAACATGTTTAATATTAGTACAATGTTTGTGGGAGGCATTAAATAAAGCTACAGAAGTGACAATAACAGACTTGTAAGTACAGGGACCATACTCTAACTGCTGCTCTGTGTTCCCTGAGAAAAAGCCAGAGGGCTGCATTTTAAAGAGACTATCAAAGAACAAACAGCAGACACGTTGGATAACCCGAGTGTCCACCAACTCGCCCAGCTGTCAGGAGCAGAGGCTGTAATTTGCTTCCGCTCCTTGGGGATTCCTAAATCCCATCCCTCGTCTCAGTGAACTTTGGGCTTAAAAAAAAAGAAGCTATGTTGAGACAATGCCGGTCTCTGCGATTCTTTTGGTCCTGGTAGAGATCACGCTGAGATGTTTCCATGTTTTACACAATCCTTTTATTACCCATTATTCTTACAGATGCATCTGGAGATCCGCACACTGCAGTCCTATGCAGTCCTATGCTAAAGGCTGATCTAAAGAACTCCACACAACAGTTGCAGTTATAACCTCTGGTCTCCTCCCCCCTACACTAAACACCCCCACAATGGAAATACACTAGTACAGTGGCCAAGGGTGCTGACACCCTGACCCCATCTCCTTTTAAGGTAGTGTCCCTTTGCCTGCCCCTCACCCTCAGTAATTCTTGCTTCCTGGCCCAGGTTGATTGTCCTCCTGCCCTGCACCCCAGTTCTTTGTTCCCATTCCAGGCCTTCTTACACCCATTAACGGCCATATTGTAATATTACAATCAATCCCAAACTATATTCTCTTTAACTATGATGTATATTAAGGAATCTATTCTCAACAGCTACTGACCTTTAACAGTGGGCTCTGTTCACGATCACCTTGTTGTGGAAGTTTTCGATTAAATAAAGCCTACAGACGAGCAGTAGCTAACATTCTTTAATCCAAACACACAAAGACAACAGACAACCAAGTTGGTGGAGAGCCTGCATGACCGCGGGGCAGACGGTCAGCAGAGTCTCCCTGAGCCTAGCATGGCTCCCAGCTTCTTCTTCAGGAACAAAAGGCAGTACACAACTGTTTCACACTCCCTTGCTACCTCCCAGAGTCCTCGAAGAGACAAAAGACTCTTCCTGTGGAGTTGTCTGCTTCCCCCAACTTCCTTACTAGACCCCCACCATTTGTCTTACTGTATGAGTGTGAGACATGTTAAAATCCAGTGGCACCAAGGCATTATACAATAAAATAATGTGATTAATACATAAGAGAAATTCCTATACAATCTTCATGTCTGCTTCTTTAGAACTGATTTAATGAAGCGGGATCCTTTTTTTATTTTTGGATCAGTCTTGTGATACAAAAACAAGAAGCACCATCCATCCTGTACTGTGTGGAAGAAAGGTACAAAGCAAGGGCAATTAGCCTCCCAGCAGGTAAACGGGTGGCAAAAGATTTTGATACCCGTGTATTTGCTGAACAGCCAATTTGGAAGAAAGTGCACTTTTTCTAGAGTAAAACAGTGTAAATGTCACAGCTGGACAAGAAAGATGTTTGTGCTGCACACCGATCAGTTCAAATGTACATTGATATTTATAGAAATAAAAGTCTTAAAGGTCACATTTTTGCAGTTTGTCATTTCTTAATTATTTTTTTTATTATTACTTGAAACAGACAAAACAGAAAAATTAATTTACTTGCATTGGCCCTTTTGAGTAAACAGCCACAGATATTGAGGACAGACTAACATACAGTAGATTTATAAAAAATACTATAAGTATAAAATTTGTGATTTAGAACAATAGTTGATTGTACAGTAAATATAACACTCAGGCTGATAGTGTTCATCAAAAATCAGTCCAACAGGTGTACCTGATATGTGAAATGTATAAAACTAACCACATATGGAATGCTTTAATCAAAAACAAAAAACAATCATTCACGAATTTTGGATTCAAGGATCAGCAGCTCTCATCCAATCCCCCCCACACACGCTGTTCATCGGGCATGATACAGCATCTGAGGGAGAAGGATCTGGATTGTTTCACCAGCTACAGGGGGGAAAGGCTAGGAGGAATCTGCTGCATGTTGAGTGATGAAGAAATGAGTTTCAGACTTTTGCTTTGCTGGTGGGAACGTCGCTGGCAGTGATTCGAGGACCAGCAGCTGCTGGAGTGTAGGGGATTCGTGCTGGTGTCACCTTTTTACCGATGGTCTCGATCTGCAGACAGGAAAACAAACAAACAAAAAAAACTTAAATACTTTGGATTTTTACATGATGGAGGGGTTGGAACTTTTTTTTTTTGTAAATCTTACCTGGAAGCCAAGGCTCTGAAGATGAGGGTGAAGGTGGTCCAGCACTCTGCGGCCATCAAACATGAAAGCCGGCTTCAGCATGTTCTTGTAAATCTTATCGTAGTCCAGTTCCTGTGGTGGGATTAAGCAGATATGACTATTAAAATGTTTTCTCACATATTCCTCAAATACGAAGCATTTAAAAAAATAAAAGTAGTAGTAAAATGTAACTGGGACCTTAAACATGTCCCACTCTGTGCAGATGACCAATGCATGAGCGCTCTGGCAAGCCTCATAAGGGTCTGATGTCACAGTCACCAACTCAGACACTAAAAATGAAGAACAGTTCAAACAAATTAGTGTTAGTGAGTGCTGCTTTAGTTACTGATAAAGCAACTGAAAGTTACTGAGATCTCAGTGGCATCTAAGAGAAGCAATATCTAATGTGGTTCTCTCTGCTACAGCTGCCTGCTGTTTGTGAGGGACAGCCAATCAGAAGAGAGGAAAGACAAACACTTTCTGCACCAAGGCCCAGTAAAAGCCAAACAATGATCATTTTGAAATGTGAATTGTACCAAAGTTCAAGAATGAAAATATGGAGCAGGAATGGAGCAAAAACAGGCGATGTTTAAGAAGTTTACTCGCTTCTGACATGGTGTGTCCCTATCCTATCTTAGGTTCTCTTGAAAATGTCCTTTACACCCACCCAAAGATAACATTGGTGGGTGTAGAGGACATGATATACTTTGTTGGCTTAAATTCTCCCCAACAGACAATTTGAACTATTACAGCACAGTCAGAGTTACAGTTTTATAAATCTTATTAAATACATCCTGGAATTCTGGTTTATTTTCAAGTCCTATCAGATTTTATTATCAGAAAAGGAGCAGTCATTTAATAGTTTTGATCTTAAAGGTGTTGGATTATAACATCATTACCTCTCCTGTCTGCATGTAAAGTGTCATGCTCGAGCCTGTAACCAGTTTGCTTAGCAATGCCCTGTACAAAGGTAACACCACCCACAGAGCAGCATCTCTATAGCTCACTTATTACCACATTACAGTCATGTTTATTTAAGCTGTCTGCAGCCAGGTACTGAAGTGAGCTGAAGGTGTCTTTACACTAAACCACCTGGTTCACTCATACAGACATGAAGTAAATCAGGGTGTTGACAAAAATAAACTACACAATGAGTTTTTCAGTACTGCACTGGAAACTGCAACCTGCAAACTGCACACACACCTCTCTCTGGGTTGTCCTCGGAGATGCTGGGCTGGGAGAGGTCGTGAATGATTTGCTCTTTAAGGACTTTGGGGTCATAGATGAACAGCTTGGCGCCCTCATCCATCAGGTACTTAGAAATGTAGATACTGGACGACTCCCTGGAGTTACACAACACACGTGCACACACCTTGATGTCAGCTCCAATCGAGGTTACAGTTCACAGATGCACATTAAAGCAGTCAGTAGTGACTCTGCAGGTTTTGTATGTACAAAGAGCAAACCCAGGGTTTGAAATGGGCTCTTCATTATCCTTTCATACACTGAGGTTTATGATTAACAAAAGTTTAACAAAGCCATTTCAAGTGAATCAAAACGGGAAAGAAATGGCCAAAATAAAAGGAGGAGACCCACCTCGTGTCACCCGTGTCCTTTTTGAAGGAGAAGCCTAGCAGGGCGATCTTTTTGCCGGTAACAGTGTTGAAGAGACAGTCGATGATCCTGCAGGCAAACCGTCGTCTTTGGTACTCATTCATGTCGATCACCTTAAAAAAATAAAATAAAATAAGTGCTACTGTCACTAATCAGTACTAGATGTACAAGTTGTTTAATTGGAGATAAACCGTTATGTCCAAAACGTTCTGCATCGATTTTGCCACAAAATCTCCCTTAGCCTAAGGCGAAGTGTTCAGTCATTCGGGAGAGGCTCTGACTTCAGCCACTACTCTTCCTCATCTAAAGGAGCGTCGCTCTCACCTGCTGCCAATAGGAAGCCACCTCAGGCAGGTTGAGGGCTTCGCACAGATACACCAGATTCAGCACATCCTTCTGGAAACAGCTTCCACCAAAACCTGTACGAGGCATCAGAAACAGCAAAGAGATGAACGGGAAACATTCGTACGTGTTCAGCGGATGTGAAAACAAACTGTCTCACCTACGCTGGCTTTAAGGAACTTGTTCCCTATTCTCTGGTCCATGCCGATCGCCTTGGCCACTTCCTCCACGTCGGCTCCAGTGGCCTCGCACAGAGCACTGATACTGTTGATGCTGCTGATTCGCTGTGCCAGGAATGCATTAGCTGCCTGCACACAGACACACAGGAATACTCGTTTAGCTCTGTGATAAGGACAAGTACTGTGATAATCACTTACACACTTCTCATACACCAGGCCACTCAGCGATGACAGAAGGAGACTCACAAATCCAATTAAAAAAGAATATTTTTTTAATCAAACGAACAAAGACCTGAAATTGAGCCGTGGTGTGTGTAATCAATGTGATGCGTAGTGCAAGTGAATGCACGAGTCAAGAGATGGTGCATTCAAGGACATTTAGTCCAACAAGCAAACCAAGAAGCCACAGAAATCAAATGTGACTCAGGGCAGGAGAGACGCCCAGCAGCTAACTCCAAGAGCTTTTATAGAGCACTGGCACTGGGCGAAGATGTTACTGAATGGAAACATTCAGCCAGAGCGCTTCTCAATTTCCTGCATAAAAGGACCGCTTCACAGACAGACTGAAAGGTAGGGTGGAGTGGATCGTCTCACACACATGAAATAAATAACTAAATACAACGTTTTCGCTAAATGAGTAACAACTAGCTGATTAAAATTGATCATAGAAATTAATTGACAGCACAAAGTAAAAGTTGATGTCTTAATAATTTACACAGTTTATTTTCTACAAGCAGAGTTCATCTATCTGACCCTTTTTCCATGTTTTATATACCCTTCAATATACGGATTAAATAAAGAGCAGCTATTTGGAAACAGATTAATAAACACAAATCTAATCTATGTAGTTCTGGTAATTTATTTTTTTATTGACTGTTAAATATTAAAAATATTAATCATGAGATATTTTCCAAGAAAACTGGCCTTTTTTTTGCAAACGATTAATAAATTGCTACAACAACCAACAGATTTACGAAACTGTTCTCTGTGGTCGACCTCACCCAGAGGTTCACTCACCAGCTTTGAGAGCTCAGATGACCACGTGTTGGTGGTGATGATGCGCTCCTTGGGGACCCAGTGCTCATATACAGCACACAACGCTCTGATCGCCTTTTGACCTTCAGCAGTCTCATCTCCACCAATCAGGACGCGATCTGGCTCCTTCAGATCCCGCACCGCCGTTCCTTCTGCGAGGAACTCTGGGTTGGACAGCACCTGAAGCGGCAGCACAACTTTAGAAACAAGCAGCTCAGCAAAGGTCGGAGAGCTTTGTTCACGTGACGGTACGCACTTGCAGGTTGAGGCTGGGTTTGGTGTTGGCGTCAAATATCCGTCTAATGCTCTCGGCGGCGCGCACTGGCACCGTACTCTTCTCCGTGACAATCTTGTAGCCGTCGGACATCTCGACAATGCGCCGGGCGCACGCCTCGATGAACTTCAGGTCAGCCGCACGACCTTTCCCCATCCCGTAAGTCTTTGTTGGGGTGTTCACCTGGAGGAGTGCAAGGAGAGGTGCAGTTTAATTATGTCAGTGGGCCAAACAAGCAAAACCGGTGTGTGGTGGAGAACCCTAATGAAATTTTGGTCGATCATTATCGGCCTGTGTTGAACTGTATATTTGGAACAAGATAGAAACTTAATGCAGAAAGGAGAAAAGTGGAGTAAATTAGAAACTGTGTCATTACAGATCCATTACACATCACAGCTGAGCAGAACGTGTTCTGCATAGCATGTTACATGCGTTGCTGAGAAGTTAAATAATAAGGCCACAATCTCCTCTTTTAAATACAACTGAAGACTGACAGACATCTTTCACTTATATTCAACCACCGAATATCCAGGATCAGTCGGGCTCTAGGGCTGTGTGTGTGTGGAGCTAAATGATGGACTCACAGAGATAAAGACGAGGTCTGCGTCCCTGATAGCCGAGTCTATGTCTGTGGAAAAAAACAAATTTCTTCCTCTGCATGATTCAACCACCTCCTTCAGTCCAGGCTGAAATGGGAGGAAGTGAGAGGCCGTGTTAGTAAGACAGCAGGAAAAATAAACGTGAAGAGTGCAACACCAGCTCACAGTGACCACTGACTAACCTTAAACTACTCACGATGATGCAATACACCGTGGTCAGAGTTGACGTAGAAAAGTTGCAACACAGTCTGGAAGTAATTTAGGTTTCATTTTGTCCATGAGGTGGAGCAATATTTAACAAAAACATTTGCCTGGAACTGTTGCCTGGCTACACCTACTCCTTTAACACTTTAATGAATCTGAACACTTTACTGCTTTTCTGAGATGCTGAATATTAATCTCAAGCTGCACATATCAGGATAATAGCCTATGACCTACTCCTGCTTGTTAAAGTTTAACCAGATCTCTAATAATTAATCTTGTCCTACTATCCTCAGCGCCACGTTTTTTGTTTTTTTTTAAATAATGGCACGCTACCTCATAAATGGGCAGAGTGTCAGAATTCCAGGCCTTGATTCGGGACTCATTGACGTCCACAACAGTCACTGTGATTTCCGGGCACATCTGGGCGATGACGCTGCATGTTGGGCCTCCTACGTAACCCGCACCAATGCAACAGATCCTCTTTATTTGAAACATCTGGGGAGGACACAACACAGAGCTATAAAGTTATCAAGTGAACACACTTCCCTGCAAATAAAGAGATAAAGTACCCATCAAGCAAGCCTTATTTGTACACATTTCAGGGCTTGCCAACAGCTTATCAGTGGGTTTGCCAGATAAGAAAATAAGAGGAGGGGGTCCCAAGGAGTCCTGGACAGCTTTTGCTCCAAATCACTTAAAAAACAATTTATAAGGATTTGAAGATGAAGAGTAAGTAGTAATCGATGATCTCACTCGTAATTTCAGCTTCATAACAATACAATCTTTGTCAACAAAATCTTTTTAAAAAAATGAATTTGCTATCATGAAAGTCGGTATGTATATGAAAAAACATGAAAAAAAACTGTGGCTCAAATAGTCGAGGACAAACCATTTTAACAGCATCTCAAACATATTTCTAATAGTTTAAACGTTATAGATCCAGTTTCTCGGCAGATGATGACTGGAATATTAGTGCATAAGAAGCAAGTAAAACGCTACCATCCAACTATCAAAATAACAGAAAATTACAGTAATGACCAGTTCCGTCACAGGAAAATAATTGCTTTGCTGATGCCTCAACTTTACAAGTCAGGTAAGCTGATTCCCCGTTACACTCAGAGGGGAGTGGCTCCTCCCAAATAATTAGATTTTCTGTCTAAAATCCTCCTCGGGAGTACTTCACCTCCTCGGTGGTGCCGCGGTAATAGTTGCCAGGTGCACAGTTGTAGCCTGGTGGAATATAAAGAGCCTTTTATTGCAGCTCAGCCACGTCAAGCAGAGATGAAAAATGAGCCCTTTATCGGTGATGCCTTTCACTTAGTTCGCGTTAGCTGCCCCGCGTTGATGTGGCACATCGACAGGAGAACGATGAAGCTACTTTAAGTTCTGTTCCTTCAAACAGGGAGAACTAAACACGAAAATGAATGAGTGGGTAAGTGTTTGTTGTCAGCGGGTTAGCTAACGGTTCGTTACCTCTGCCAGCTCGACAGTCTCTGAACTTCAGTAATGCGCAGACTGTGTTAGCTCTTCCGCTAAATGTGTCCTGTCCCGGCGTCAAACCCACGGCCACGGTTCCGTTACACACGATAAATGAAAGCAAACCAGAGCTCGACGTATAAAAACCACACCAATGAAATCTCTGCAACAACTTTCCTCACCTGGACCTCAACCTAAAGTGAAGCGCTTCTTCGGAGAAACCACTATTTATTTACTGGTCAGACTTCCGGCATCATACCTTCAAAGTAAAAGCATTTACACCGTTATATAGAGAGCTGTGGTTAGAAGTTTACAGTCATCATGGACATGAATGTCATGGTAGTTGTTCTTTTTCCGAGATGAAATAATTGTATAGTATCCATCTTTCATGACTTAAGACAGCAAATATTCGACTGACCAATTCTCAGAACAATGCAAAGCTCCATGGAACTCAGTGGAGATCTAAAAGGGAGAATCATAGCTTCATAGTCAGGAAGGTCTCTTAGAGCCACTTCTAAACAACTGCAGATTCCAGGGTGATTAGTTCAAATAATTGTACAAATTATTCAAACGTGTCACCACTTTGCCAAGGTTAGGACAAAAACCCAAACTGTCACCCTCTATATGAGATGAAATTGGTTCTGCAACAACCCAGAGACCACTAAGAATCAAGCCTGCCATGAAGAACTGCTGGAATATCAAACCCCTAACCTCAACCCTGTTGAAAATTTGTGAACTACAGTTAAAAGTCAACTCCATGCCAGGAAAACAACCAATTTAAAGTTGTTTTTTTAAACCATGTTTAGAATTCTGTCAAATAAATGAAAGAAGCTTGAAGCATTTCTGAGATGCTGTATTTGAATCTCAAAGGTGAGCATATCAATACAGCCTATGACCAACTGCTGCTAGTTAAAGCTTTACCAGATCTCTAACAATGAATCCTGTCCGACTATCCTCATATCAGCTTTTTAGATAATGGTATCATGAATGAGAATTAACGGGACCCATTGACCTCCACAACAGTCACCGTGATCTCTGGGCACATCTGGGTGATGACTCTGCATTTTGGGCCTCCTACATGTCAGTTAATTCTCTAATTCCATTTGAGCTGTGAAAATAGGAGCCTGTGTAAAACAATTATTCAATATTTAGTTAAATCCCCAGAATTAAAACAGGAAGTCTGCACCTCAAAATCTACTGTGGTGGTGTACAGAGGCAAAATACAAAAACCTGTCTTCCTCCAAATACTTATAAACATAACTGTGGGTGAGAAGTTATTAAGTAATTACTGAAATGCCCTTACAATACAAAAAAAAAAAAATCATTTGCAGGTTTGTGAGTTCTTCTTAACCAGAAGACAAAAATAAACATTAAAAGGGAATCAGCAAAAACAACAACAATGTTAACTGCTTTACTGCACATTCTCATGTTAAGCCCTAATTGTCTATTGTTTTATTGAAAGTTTTATCTTAACTTTTAATTCTAAGTTGTTTTTCAACTGTAATTTCAATCATAATATGATATTTAATTGGGTGTAACGTGTCCTTGAGTGCCTGTAAAGGGCCTTTAAATACATTCATTATTATTATCATCATTATTATTATTATTATTACATGCTAAAGCATAAACATATTTATAAAAATAATCAAATACAATTTTAAAAAATTAAATACATGAATTTTTCCTTGACATATCACAAAATCATTCTGTCCCACAATTGTTTCCAATTTTGCAAACATCTGAGTTAGAAAACATATAAAAATATAAACACACACTAGATCTGCTGTCTAATACAAAATCATATGAAAGTACCTGTCAGAGGACAACATACATTACAAACTTGCATTTGCAAAAACATGTAACATAGCACCAACAGACATTACACGGGTGTTATGTTACATTTTATTCGTCATCTTCGAAACGGTATGGTTTTATTTGGGGGGCTCCATGGTGGAGGTGGGCTGTCTCCGAGTATCTCTTGTATCCGTCTCTCTTCTCTGCGTCTCTTCTGCTCTAGATCTTTTCTTGCCTAAAGAACAACAAGGAAATCTGTGACACTAGCCACAAGGACAAGGACTGCTCACACATACAATATATTCAAAAATACTAGATTTGTACACCTGATAACAACGCCTTATACAAGCAGAAATTAAGAAGACCGTGGGACAGTGGTGTGAACCTCATATTTAACTTAATAAAAGTTCAAATCAATTATGTATGTAACGGGTAGTGACAGGGATGATGTGATCTCGTCTCTATAAATTAGTCTGAACATCGAGGGGGAAGATGGACTTCAGGCAGACAAAACAAAGCTCTGAGTCAAAGATCATGCCCATTATGATCTCAAGACACGTGTACAATTTCATAACTGTGGTCTTGCTGTGAAAGCTCTATGAAATGGAGAGAGTTACTGCGCTACGAGTCACGCACATCCAAGGCAACACAACAAAAAACTCCGAGGTCAGGAAATGATTAATCAAAGAGGGAGTAAGGCTGGATATACAATACTGGGCAAAAGTCTTGAGCCATACCTGGTGCAATACCAACAAGCTTGAAAGTCAATATTTCATACGAATACTTTTATCACTGCATGGTGATCCACAAGAAAAAACAAAGAAATCCTCTAAAAATAAGTTCAAAAACGTCCAGCAGACCTTCAGAAAGCCTGGAGATTTATCACTCAACACCAAGTCTGGCTCCTTGGAAGCAAAATATAAACAAATGAGGGATGGATCAACAGTTTTGCACAGTACTGTACATATTTAATTTGAGCTTTATGTGTAAAATGCAGGCTCATTTGGCCAAAAAGTTACACAAACAAAAAATATATTTAGATGCTGATTTAATCTACAATCTATATAACGTAAGGTTCTGATCTTATTAAGCGATCACACTTTTTTTAATTTTAAAAACTTTCAGAAAAAATTCTCAGAAACAGAATGAGGTAAAAGCATTAAATCAGAAGAAATTCACTACATTTTCATTAAAGATATGCTGAAACAGTTGGTTGAACGTTCAGATTTTCCCCTCCTGAGCAGTGAAATCTGTCAGTGCCATCTAAGTAGTCACAAAAGAAGAGTTCACACTGGAGCCTGGTCGCGACTGCTAAGCGAGAGACCATCTGTCTCATGAACAAAAAAGGATGCGGCGAGCAGCACCTCAGATGCTGGTAATAATCATTAATAATTCTACTTACCAGCCAGTTTTCATACACCTCTAAAGCCATTTTATCTCTTTCTTCCTTCATGTATTTCTCCTCCTCCGCTTTATTTTTGATTTCTTTGCGCTCTGATGTGAATTTGTCATCGATAACTTCTTTCTTCTTTTCACACCTTAATCATGTTTAAAAAGAGGATTAAAAAATCAGTATACATGACTTTTCTGTGAGGTTTTTAGAAATAAACAGTGGATGAAGATCTGAGCTTTGACTGCCATCTGGTGGGCGATATTTTTCAACCCGGCACCACAGCTGTTACAAGTTTTATTAAACATATATGCACATTTAAATCTATGTATTACCACCACTAAAAGCAAAGCTCAGTCATCTTTTGGATCTGTTGTTCAGACCATTCTGCAAAAAATGAATTCTCAGTGCCTTAAAAAAAGAGATATCTCTTTTCATCACCTTTAAATAAATGGGAGAAATTAATAATGAATGATTTCCACTCACCAGTTAGAAAAGGCAGACCTGCTGTCCCTTTTTCTCGCCTCCTCCTGTTCTTTGTTTTTAAGCTTCAATTTATTTTCAGCCTCCTTTTGTTTTCTGTAATTCTCTTTTAGCAGATGATCATGCTCACGTTTCCATTTCTCAAACACCTTTAATTGTTATTAAAATACCAAATTAACCTCACGGATACACACAAGCAATCTCATTATAGGTGTCAGAGTGATGTATGCTTTTACCTGTTGAGCAGTCTGCCTTTTTTCTTCTTTCTCCTCAGCTGCTTTTTGTTCTTTTCTAATCACAGCTTCCTTCTCTTTGGCCTTAGATTTGAGGCTTTCTGCCTTCTTTTTCTTCCAAGCCTCATAGAACGCAACAGAATCTTCTTTTTTAGCCTCCTCTTCCTGTTTGTTTTTTGAAAAAAATTGAAGAGCATCCATGTGATCTTTAAAGCTTGTAAGGTGCTCTGTAGTTTGTCTAAAACACAGATGACTCACCTTTTCCTTTTTTTCTTTCAACATGGCCTCTTTCTTCTTCAGTTGCATGTTCTCCCTCGACTTTTCCTTCTTCTTTTTGAGCCATTCCTTGTAAAAGTGAGGGTGGATTTTACTGGACTGAGAATGTGCTTTTGATACTCTGAGGCCCGCTTAACACATACACACATTCATTCAAATCTAAATGTTCAATGTGCAGTACATTGTTTTCTCCCAACAACTCACACGATTACGAAACACTCTTTTAATTTAGATTAGTAAAACCACTGCTACTCTATATTTAGCTGCATGGTTCTTCGGAGGAGTGCTGAGTAAGGTTTTCATTGTCTTTTACACACAGACTTTTAACTGTAGATATAAGGGTACATCACAGTGCTTTTCTCCACTGCATGGCTGACAATGTAAAAAAAACTAGAAAAGACAACACCCTCAGAACCACACCGACCTGATAAATGGCAGCTCGGAGGGAATCTGCTTCTTGTGGCTGAGACTCTTGTAAAGAGACTTTACGGTCCAGAACTTTGAGAGACCCCAAATACTTGGACTCCACTTTCCTGGAGCATGCACTCTGAGATCTTGGAGTGGTCTTAGAGTGAGAACTCAAAGTCCTAATTTAAACAAAACAACAACAGAAAGGCCAGCTAAGTGATCAGGTCTGCTTCACACATAGAGCTCTGCTACTGCAGCTTGATTACCAACCTTGCTTCAACAGATTCCTCAGAGACATGAGAGAGATGAGCTGAGGGATCTCCTGAGCATCCCTGGAAGACAACAATGCACAGACTGAGCTCTTAGACTCTTGAAATGGAAGCAACCGGACTTGATTTTGGTTCGTGAAGATGTTTGGCCTCTCATCCACAAGGCTTCTTCTATGTGTTCAGTCTGGAATGCAGCGTAATGACGCATGCCTTGATTCATACCTTCAGACCCTCATGTGACCTTTAATAATTACAAGGTGGGTCAACAACTCTCAGGACCACCTCCAAGAGGACGACCTCGCTATAGGTTAAATACACAGAATTCTCCATCAGTTTTTAGAACATAAGAAGCCTCTTGGATGACATGTGTAACGTCTTCA